AAGATCAAAGAAAGAGTGTAAAGACCCATATATACATAAATATCTGTAGCAGCTCTTTTTGTTTTAGCAAAGAATTGGAAACTAAGGGAATGCATATCAATTGGAGAATGGCAGAATAAATTACGGTGTATAAATATGATGAAATACTATTGTGCTATAAGAAATGACGAAGGGGATGAGTTCATAAAAATCTGAGAAGATTTGTACAAACTGTTTCAGAGTAAAGTGGGCAGAAGCAGAAGAAAAATTTATACAATAACAAAAATATTATTGTTGAGGTCTAGGGGTGCTGGGAAGCCAAAATTCAAGGGCAAAAGACATGAGTTCTAACTCAAATGAATTTGACTCAAGCCTTCTTTTCAGCCAGAGACAAGGTTTATTAAACACTTGTTGAGGTGGGCAAGATTTTAATAATCTCCACTGTTGGCCAGATCTAAGAATCTAAGCCTTTGTAATAAGAATACATCTGGACCAGACTCTTAAGGAATCTAAGCAGAGACAAGCTTTATTGTATCACCAGTAGAAGCTGGCCAGACTCTTAAGGAATCTGAGAGATTTAATGGGGGCAAGATGGACACTTATATACAGTGGTCAAGGAGTAGCCAATAGCTTGGGTAACTGGGAGGTAACAGGGAAGGATTAGGAAGAGCTGGGTTCCCCAGGAAAATGCCAGGGACTTGGACCACATGGAAGGGGTCTAGATGGAATTAAGGGTGGGATGTGATCACTGGCAATCTGGAGGTAACAAGACAATGAAGGGCTGGGCTAGGTTGGAGGTAACAGAGAATTGGAGATTGGGGCAGGGTCAAAGCCACAATGCAGGGAAGGTTGAAAGGATTATAACCTCATGTGAACACCAGGGACCTGGGGCATTTGGGGAAGCCTTTTTGTGGTCCATCATTAGTGCCCCATCATTCCCCCTCCCCCTTCAAACAAATGAGACTCAAATTATTTTGGGATAAGGATGAGGGTCTCAGCATCTGAAACTGAATCCTAAGTGTAGAGCTGTCCCTGCCTTGACAGAGTGTCAGAGGGGAGGTTGACTGGAACTGAGCATTTGTGGAAGGGCTGCAGTATAGTAGACACAATGGTGCATTATTGGTGTTAGCAGCAACAGGTTCAGGCATTCTGGAAAACAATTTGAAACAATGCCCAAAAAGCTATTAAACTGTAGACCCAATCACGCTGATGGGATACTTGGGTGTTTGTACTCGGACTTGTACTTCCAAGATCATATTTCTTCCTGCAAGGCACTATCCCTGACAGTTTCCCTCTAGCCCAAGGACCCTATATCTGGCAATAACTCATGAGTGGACCCAGTGAGGCAAACTATCTCTCCCTGTTACAAGAACAAACTGACCTCTGTAGAATTTCCCTTATATAAACAGGACTATCTTGTACTATCAGAACTATCAAGTACTGATGCCCACAGTTACCGTATGCAGTCCAGAGGTCAAGCTATAGACGTCAACTCCTTTAATAGTGTGATAAATATAAGGTGAAACTTTTAATTTTCATTTCTCTAATTGTTACAACAACATGGGTTCTGAATGAAGTCTCTACACAGAGATAAGGACTTCCAGAACAGGTGTTGTGAGTTGAACCTTGTCACACATTGCTGAAACATGTGCATCACTACAATGATGGTCTAAATTTAAGCTTACTCTTCCAATGGAGGCTGTATTTGTGGGAAGGATTTAACTAGGTTTTTAGAATAACATTTTTTATTAACTGTCTTTACCATCTATCTCAGAGTAGTAGTCACTATGAAGAAGTGGGGGGGGTTTGGGGTGCTCCTAGATGCACAGAAGCACCCCAAGATTGCAGGAGGTTTTGGGGTGCTGGGAAAAAGCCCCAGATCACGGCATGAATATGCCTGAAAGAATTCAACCCAAAAATCTTCTAGCCAGAGAAAAAGTTTATTAAAGATAAAGCATATAGACCAGACTCCCAAGGAACCCAAACGTCAGTGATCTAAATAGGGGCTAAAGTGGTCAGGTGACACTCGTAAGGACGAGCTGGCTTGAGGCAGTCTCAGCCTTTTGGGCGTGAGGACAGCTCAGCATTTGAATGGGGGAGGCCAGGTGAATCCCAAGCCAGGTGTCACCTGTAAAGATGGGCAGGTGTGAGAGTCTCAACCTCTAGGGGCATGAGAAATTCCCGGCATCAGAATGGGGCAAAGGTGAATCTTAAGTACAGAAAGACTGTGGGATGGATTTAGGAGTGGCCAAGCAGTTTGGAGTGACAGGAGGAGGGGTCTAAGGAGATCTGGATGGGAGTGGCTAGTAAGCTGGGGTGAACAGAACTCCTGGGTCCTGGACCTTGTGGCGCCTAGCTAGGATTAAGCGTGGCCAGAGGAAGGGGGGGATTGGTTGGGTCTGTTTGTAAGGTAATAAATAATGAGAATAGATAATGAAGGGAGCTGAAAGGGGGGAAGTTTGCTTTCAAATGGAGATAAAGAGAGCTTTCAGAGGGAAATAAGGCAGTTTCTAAAACTTTAAGGTTTTCCTGGGACCGGTAGACAAAATGAAGCCAGGTTCTTTTTGGGGCCAGGAAGGAAAGCACATTTGAATAAGATTTCAAAGAGAGAATCTAAAAGTTTTAAGGTTTTTCTGGGAATTGTAAACAAAGGAGCCAAATTCTTTTTCAAAAGGGGCAAAAGGGAAAAAAGGGCAAAGGTAAACCCCTTCAACTGCCCTCTGAGGACCCAACCTCACAATTTGAGCAGAAGGTGGCAAATCCTCTCATCATCATCATCATCATCATCATCATCATCATCATCATCTTCTTCTTCTTCTTCTTCTTCTTTGTCATTGTTATTGTAATCATCTTCATTATTTCCTCCTCCCTTTTCTTTTTTTATTTACTTTTGTTAATTTTTTTTTAAGCTGGGACAATTTACTTTTTGTCTTGTGTGGTTTTCATTTTTGATTTCTTTAAATATAGCTCTGGGAAGACAGGCTTTTAAAAGCCCATAGTTAGTCATGGAGTAATGTAAAATTGAAATATATCTGAAATTAACAAATTTTTTTAAAAGCCCATTGTGTTTTAAATGGAGCTACTTGACTGTATTTTAAAACTCAGATCACTCTGACTTTCATTGAATGACCAATAATAACTCCAATCCAAACCTCTGTGACTCATTGTTTAGGTTTTGATGGCTTAGAATGAGTGTAAATATCATTAATTGTTTTCTGTTCTGGTCAGAAACTCAACAAGTGATTTAGAGCATTTTTTCCATATAGTTGTTACTAGTTTGAATTTATTCTTATCATAATTTTCTATTCGTATCCTTTCACCATTTTTTGGTTGAAGAATGGATCTAACTCATATATTTAAATAATTTCCTCATATATCGTGGATATCATATTTTTGCCAGAGAAAAAAATGCAATTTTTCTCTAGCTGTTTCCTTTTTTGGTTTTAACTATATTGATTTTGTTTATGTAAAACTTTTTGATTTTATGTAATCAGAATTGTCCATTTTATCTTCTGTGATCTTCTCTATTCCTTCTTTGGTCGTGAACTCTTCCCTTATATGTGGTATACAGAAGACATTTTTCCTTGTTCCTCTATCTACTTTGTTTATGATGTGATCTTTTATATGTGGGCCTTGTGTCTGGTTGGAACTTATTTGATATATGGTGTAAGATCTTATTCTCAAACTGATTTCTGCCAGATTGCTTTCTAGCTTTCCCAGCAGTTTTTGTTTAGTAGTAAACACTTGCCTCAGTAGTTAGCATCTTTGATTTTATCAAACATGGTACTATGTTTGTTTCCTCTGTATGTTAGTTATCTAATTTGTTCCACTGATCAACTTTTCTATTTTTGAACCAGTACCAAACAATTTTGATGTATAATTTTAAATCCTGTACTAGAAGATCCCCTTCCCACTTTTTCTTTTCTTTATATTCCTTTGAGATATTTGATCTTTCATTCCACCATTTGAATATTATTTTTATTTTTTCTAGCTCTTATAAAGTAATCCTTTGATTGTTTGATATGGCTCTAAATTAACTAATTGATACAGAGATTATTGTAATTTGTATGGTGTTGGGATAGCCCAATCATAAGCAGTCATTTTCTCTCCACTTATTCAATTCCGTCTTTATTTCTGGAATTCTTTATAATAATATTCAGATAGTTCCTTCTGTATCTGGGCAGGTAACAGATTCCTAACAATTAGTTCTGTCCAAAACCAGAATGACCTGTTTTGAGAGCTGGTAGGCTTTGCCTCCTTAGAGGTATTCGAGTAGAGGCCAGATGGTAACTTATCAGGTTTGTTATAGTAGGGATTCTTCTTGTGTATTTGAACTATTTAGCCTCTAAGTTCTGTTTCAACTCTCAATTTAATGTTGTAGCATAAGAAACAAGTCTGGTTTTTAGAGACAGGAGCTTAGTCTAGTAAAAACAGCATTTTACTAGGAATCAGAAGAAATGAAATCTGGGCCCAACTGTGTAACTATCATTATCTATGTGGCCTTGGTCTGTGGTCCTTTTGAGCTTTAAAATTCAGTGAGTCTATGATTCTATGATGTTTAAGTATTGGAGAAACATTAAGAAGCTATCTGTTTCTGTCTCCTGAATATAAGACTGCCAAACAAAACAAATCATTGACAACTTGGAAGCTTTTCTGCCTACCAGATGTTGTGGAGAATGGCAGTGAACTCACTATTTTAAGTAGAAAAACTATTTTAAATTAACCTGAAAGAACCTTGGAAGTAGTATCATTAACACAAATGATTAGGATTACTCATTCCCTATTTACTTTTTATTTGTGACTGTGAAAATCATAGATTTTGATTCTCAGGAACTGCATGTTGTTATTTTCTGTGACCACATTTTTATATGATAGTTGTCTTGGTAAATGTTCATTCTTCCATGGAGAAAGTGCTCCAAAATTCTTTTCATCCTTGCATATGACGTGCTTTGGAGCCTAGCATGCTTTTGGGGCAAGTAAACTCTCATGCCATAAGTGACAGTAATACTGTTCCCTTTCAGGAAACACTGATAGATTGGTGTGATGAAAAGGAACTTAATTTGATTTTAACAACCGGAGGAACTGGATTTGCACCACGAGATGTCACTCCAGAGGTGAGATAACACATGCCTTCATATTTAGTAAATAGCCTAAGCACATGTTGTTTTAAAATCTCGTGCTCTTTTTCTGACTTTCTTTTTGCAGTTTCTTTATGGGGATCAAGTGATATGTACCAACAATAGAGTATATTTGCTGCCACAATATTATTCAAACACTACAAACAACATCATTTTCTTGACATTCTTTGGACTTAAACTAGAAAAGATTCCATATAAGCTGGTTGGACTTCTTGCCCCAGGATATGATAAGGCATTTGCTCAATGGCCTGTTTTATGACCCATAATTTAGATATTTCCTAGTTGAGAGAAGAGTAATAATGAGCATTTGTCCCTGAAAACTATTACTTTTAGTACCATGAGTATTTGCCTAATTTCTAAAAATTCCAGACCTAGGTCTGTGGTTATTCCTTATGTTAAAATTCTGTCTTGTCATATAGTTATGTTTCAAAAACGTAACAGAGTAACTCCAATATAATATATGCATGCATGTTCCAGTGTTTTAATCAGGAACAAATTTGCAAGGGAAAAGTCCTTTCTCTCATGGTTTTAGATGTTAAAGACAGTGATATACAGAATTTAGCCAGCCAAAAGAGTTGAATAAATATCCAGGCATTCTGCATCAAGATTCAACTTTGGCTTTTATATGGGAGAGAAAAAAAATGACAGAGAAAGAGAAAATTTCTACCTCCCCTTTTATGTTTTGTTCTTGACCCATGTTCCAATTTGACCTAAAGAAGACATGGTACTGAATTGTCATTTTGATATTAGATATGAAATTAATATTACTGATTGCGTTATAGTTTTTCCCTTTTACTCTACCTTAAAAAACAACCTTTATTGAAAAACAATTTAAATGCTACCAGTTGACATCCCTAGTTTTAAAATCAGTTGAGCATTTTCCATTACTTCTAATCAGCTTTAAAGTAGTATTATGATGTAGTTCTTAAACAGCTACTGTTCTCCTTTACCCAAGGAAGGACATCAAGTGTTTGAAAAGGTACCTTTTATACAGAGAATTTTCAAGATATTTTGTGGTTCTTCTTATTGAAAGTCACATGTAAGATATATGTAATGCTTTCATCATTAAGGTGACTCTTCCTCCCCTTAAAAAAAATTATCAAACTATATGTATTGGTAGATTGTAAACTTCACTGTACAGTCATCTTGCATATTGACTCTATTGGAGTTAACTTCTTGAGCTCTGTAAGAAATGGTCACTTGATCATTGCTATTAGAACTAGAATAATTATTTGGGGAATACAGGATGGAAGCAAAAAATTCTCTTTAGAATTCTGTAGGATATTTTCTTTAGAAATATTAAACAGCAAAGTGTTAGTATGGAGTGATTGTATGGAGTGATTGAAGTGTTTATCCAGAGCATCAAAATTTTGAAGGTAGTGCAATACTTGTATTCCAGATAAAATAAGTGGAAAAAACTGATCTTATCATAGTTAGCGAGAACAGTTCTAACAGGAAGCAACCAGGTAGTAGTTGTTCCTCTCATGAACTTATTCACACCAGGCCCTGCCCTGCTCCTTCCCGCAGGAGCATCCTCTCTAACAGCTGCTTTGTGGTACCTTAGGGTCTCCTCCTATGTGGGATAGTTCCAGTGTCTTTCTACCTCCCCTCACAGGATTTTGTATTCTAACACCAGAGGTCTTCTCGTTACCAATTGAATATCTCTTAAAAAGTTTATTTGAGGGCACTTTTCATGCTGCTTCCCCTAGACATGCTTTGTGGTGCTTGCCCTGGATAATAGTCGATACTAGTTATGGCTCTATTAAAAAGTCACTTGAAGGTACAGATTTCTAGAAGGTAGGTGTTCCTAAACAGTGTTCAAGATTTGAACTGAGTGGTATTAAGATTCATTACATCTCTATTTTCTGTGATATTTTCATAATTTATAACTTATTTTATTAGTGGCTAGAAATGATGCTATTGGAAAATTCATTCTTAACTTTTATAAATGTGGGAAAATCAATTGTATATCATATTAAATAGTTCAAATAATTTAGATCCTCGTGTTAATTTCAATATGCTTTGCTGAAAAATCAACTGACACTGCTATATGTCATTATATTAATGACATGATCAGTTTTAGTCAGTTTCCATGTTTAGCATCGTTTGCACTAGTCTTCTTTGTAGCAGCAATTTAGGAAAGCTTATATCCTTCCATGATACTCCAATGTGTTGTAATATAAAGGGCAACAAATGAGTAGTTCTGAAATTGTAGAGTTGTTTACATTAAAATTAGATTTTCAAATAACTGAAGGCAGGATAAGTATGTGCCAACAGCAAATGACTGGATATTTAAGTTGTTTTAATTTTATATCTATTTCATGGCTTTGAAGATAGATGCATTTTACTTCCTTGATGGCATATGTTAATATAGCTATCAGTGGTCAAGAACCCATAAAACTTTTAACTTTTGAAGAAAGATGTAATAGAATGGCCATATAAGAAGACTTCTTACACTTCCATTATAAAATCTCAAACTTTTTTTTAAACTTTAGCAAAAAGATTCATAATTGTATAGTTAAAGATGTCCACTATTATTATTAGTGTAAGATCAAACTGATAAACAGGGACTCAGAGATATAATACAGGTTCTAAAATTATTTGATTGTCTTTCTTGGGTATATTCTTTAACTTTTTGCCTCTTAGTTATTTCATCTGTAACATAAATAAATTTTATCTCTGAGACATTTGTCTATCATAGACATATGTAGACATTGTCTATAAAGATGATGAAGACAAAAATATTTTATTTTATTTCTAAATAATATGTTAATAAAAATAAAAACATTTATTTTATTGATATAAGCATAAATTTGTATTATTGTCCAAGTCTAGAAATATTGAAAACTAACCAATAGCTCATTAAAAGTTAAGTTGCGCAAAACTTCTAAAGAGACAGTATGGTACACTGGAGGAGCACTGAACTTTCTTACTGAACTTCTAGTTATGAATTAGAATTTCCACTCACCCATATACTTGCCACTTGGGCCAGTAATAAAACTTCTCTGGGCCTCAGTTTCCTTTTCAGTATATGAAAGAGTTAAACCAGTTGACCTCCAAGGTCCTTTCTAGCTCTATAGCTGATTATGTTTGTGATTTTTTAATGCAATTTAATACCTTATGAATCTTATGTTGGTCTTAGCTACAACCAAAGAAAAGATTGTCAGTTTCCAGGATCATTTGCAGCTACAAAAGTTCTAAATGTATTTCAAAGAAAGAAAGGAGAAGAGAGAAAGTGCAAGAGAGGGAGGGAGAGTTAGAGAATAACAACGAAAATATATAAGTGGAATAAAATCATCCAAAACCAGGGTAAGACTAGGGCAAAAAATAATTCAGTCAGTCCTGTCCTTCCCATCTTTATCTCAATTTATGTATTACATATTTAAAAGGAAAGCACCTAGCAAGCCAGTAGGGTCAAATCTGCCCTGTTTACATAGCTTGTAGCAACCTATTTTCTGAAATTAAGGAATTGTGTGTACTCTAGCCCCTACATTTTAGAAATATGTGATTCTATGGATAGAAACTTAAATATTGTTCTTCCTTCCATCTCCTAAGCAAAAAGCCCTAGACAAGATTACCAATGAATGCAATTCACCTTCTTGGTATAACTATTTTATAATGACTAAAAATAATTTAAAATATAATATTTTATTGTAACTTTTTTTAAGGTAAACTGTTTTTAGTCTCTAAGAATACTTCTTCAAAGTGTTGTTTCAAGAAAAGAAAATTCCTCTGACTTAGAGGAATTAGCGCTATTGAAATGCCAGTAATTAATGTGAATGAGATACAGTGGATATATAAACAGGGATAAGGACTGAGGTGGGAACTGGACCTTGGATTTCAGTGTATAGGGAACTTCTAGGTGAGGGAACTACTCTCAATTCAGGCTGATACTTTTTCTGCTACTTAGAGAGTCATAAGAGTTGCCTAGATCAGTGGTATAAAATTCAAATACAAAAGGATTCCGCCCTCATATTGACTTAGAAATCAACACAGTAATATAATCTATGTTATATTGTATTTTTATTTACTCTATTAAACACTTCCAAATTACGTTTTAATCTAATTTTGGCCGAACTGGGAGCCTGCAGGCCATGAGTTTGATAACTCTGGCCTAGAATACTGAAGGGTTAAATGAATTGCCCTGGGTCACACAGCCGGTATTAGTTAACTGGGACTTGAAGTCAGGTCTTCCTGATTTCTGTGCCAAGTCTCTGAACCACTATATCATGCTGCCTTTCAAAAGAATAAATTTCACAGGAAAATAGAAGGGGAAGGGGATAACAGAAGGTGGGGAGAGATAGAAGGGAAGGCAGACTAGGGGAAGGGGTGAGGTGGGGTGAAAATTTGGAACTCAAAATCTTGTGGAAGTAAATGTTGAAAACAAAAAAAAAAGAAATCACAGAGAAAATTTCTAGAATAGTTCAGCTTTAGGCAAGTTCTCCATTTTAAGAAAAAGGAACCAGGTTCAGAAAATTGAAGTGATTTAACTTTGGTGATATGACTCATAAGCAAAGGAAATAGGATTTGAATTCAGGTCTTCCGGACTCCAGCTGCCTCTCATAACTTCCTCTCAAGAGAGTTAGTGTATTAGCCTGAAGAAAGCTGAAGGGAAAGAGAACAAGGAACATATAGGAGGGTTAGTCTCAGTGACAGGAATGCTTCTGTGAAAAGAAGGAGAAAATAGGTGATGATGCTGATAAATTTCAGGAGTAGAAGAGGAGATTTAAGGGAACCTGGTTCCTTTTTCTTAAAATGGAGAACTTGCCTAAAGCTGAACTATTCTAAAAATTTTCTCTGTGATTTCTTTTTTTGTTTGTTTTCAACATTTACTTCCACGAAAACAAGATTTTGAGTTCCAAATTTTCACCCCCCTCCCCCCTCCCCCCACCCCAAGATGGCTTCTACCATATTTCACTGCATAATTATCACAGATTTTATGTCAAAATTTTGCCAAAAGTGAGGTACAACCATTA